AGTCCAAGTAAGGTCGGTTAAAATCCTTAAAGATTCCAAGAACTTAAAGGGAGAAGAGTCCTCATTTATCTTACATTTATTATTATTTTGAAGAGCCTTATAATCTTTAAGATAATTATTTAGGAGTTTACTTTTTATTGCAATTTGTATAGTCTACATCTATAAATAGGTTGTCATTATAGTAATTATAATCATCGAAGTTTGAGAGTAATAAAATTAAAGTTTTTAATTTTGGTTAGTTGCTGGCTAAGTTGCTCTTTAGGGAGGTTACTTCAATTTTCTTGTTGAGTGAAGAACTAGTATGTAGTTGTTAAGGTAACTTGTGACGTTTTTATCAATATCTCTTTTTAATTTGATTTTAACTTATCAAAATATTTCTTGTGGTATTCTAATCAATTTATTTTTCTCAATTACCTTAATTCTCAATTATATATTGATTGTGGGTTAAGTATGGAGAATTTGTTTAGGTATTAAGTTTTTGTTATAAATTGTATGTTGGAGTTTTTTATCAAATTGATTGATTCTGGGTTTTGCATCACTATGGGTGCCCTGAGATAAAGATATATTTTTCTTCTATATAGCCACCTATAATTGCTACTTTGGCCGTCTTTTTCTAGCTCTATTTTCACAAGCATAGTTGAGTTCCCTTTCTCGTCTTATTCTTTTTGCACTAAATTTCTAGCTCTACTTTTGACACGTTTTTACCAGTTGTCAATCTTACCAAAATCAGGTTGGTGTTCTTCTTAGTAATTTAAAATAAGTGGTCCTTAAAAAATTTAATGTAAATAACACGTTTTTATACAATTATCCATTTAAAATTGTGTATACGTAATAATCTTTAGGTATCAAAGATCCTATGTATTTAAACATGTGCATGGCCGTAACAAAGCCATTTATGGCCCCCAATTATCTTTTTTTGCCTAATATTAGGAACTCAACTTTTTTCTCATTTCTTATGGTTTTCAATGGCAAAATTAAAGATTTCTCTCTATTGGTTTACAAGGATGGAAGACATCTTATGTGCTTTATATATATATCACTTTTTTAATTCTCATAAAAGTGATGTCACCACGGTAAGAAGATTTCAACAAATAGTAGCCACCTATTTTTTTCTCAAAGATCTAACCCATAAACTTTTTCTTGGTGATTGGAGTTCACGAAACCCCATTAAGGCTATAGCTCACCCAATAAAAATATATATGAGAACATCTCACCAAGACTCAATTTTTTATGCTAGTGGGTTCACCACTTCTATGTCAAACTTCTTTACTACTCCTTAGTGATAATATTTCAGCTAATAATGTCATTACATATCATATGATCACAGGAGTTCTGTAGTATATATCTCTCACACAATTAGACATAACCTTTATTATTAATTAATTATCTCCATTCCCACACAAACTTATTAAGACTTATTAATATGCTATCAAAAGACTCCTTTAATATGTCAAAGGCACTAATATAATTCATCTTAAACACAATAAATTCTCTCAAGCTTTCTAATAATCTATGAAGAAGTTGGTTGGGCAAGTGATTATCCAAAGGAATTTTTATTCAAAGTAGTAGAGTAAAAATTGCTACAAGCACAAACTTATTAAGACTCATAGGTGTTTTTTTTAAAAGACTCCACAAGTATGTCAAAGGTACACTCAATCATGGCATTCATCTCAATAACAATTGGTCCTTCCAACTTTCCTTAATAGTCTATTCAAATTTTGATTGGTCAACAAATTCTCAAGAGAAATGTACTAAAAATGTAAACTGCTTCAAGTTACTTGAAGTAAGTAAATTTTTATTTAAAAATAAGCAATTTCATGTTTGAACAAATTGGTGGTAATAAAAAAAATAAGAAATTTCGTTTATAAAAAAATAATAATAAGGATGAGAATTAAGTAAATTAGCTTCAGAAAATAAAAATAAAAAACTAAAAGTTAGGAATAATATGCTTATTTTTTATCTTATTAAAGTCAATTTTGAAAACTTAGTGAGGTTCATACTTTTTATGTTATCAAACGTAAAGATTAAAATAATATCCTTCAAAGTGTTCATAAGCAACAAATAACTAATCTTAAGCACTTTTTTGTACTTGACCTTTTCAATGCAATTAAATGAATTGTCTAATGTTAGTTGAAGACTGAAAAAATTTTGGTGGTTACCTTTAATTGTTTATAGCATGCTTTTACCTCTACATATTACAAGATTAAACTATATAAAGATAGGTAAGATAATTGTTAGATATCAGCTCTGCCGAATTAAATTTAGAGCAAGTTCGGGTTTAAATATGTGGAAGTAATCTTATTATCAAAGTAGTCGCACATCAATTTTCTCTTCTCTTCATAATCAACCTTTAAATTGTTCATTGATATCTTCGTCGTTACGAGAAAATAATTATATTTATATTTTATCTTAAATTTTTTAATTAAAATAAAAAATATAATTATAACTCAAGTCTTTAGTTTTTAATAAAATTATATGTCATATCATTCGAATCAAATATTGTTAATGAAAACTAAATAACAATTTTACAAATGCAAGTAATAATTTGTAGAATTCATACAATTTTCATGAATTTTTAATAAAATTTATGTTATTTTTAATAAAAATCGTAAGGAAAATGTATGAATACTAAGTTGAGAAAAAGTTTTAATTATATACATTCTGAACATGTTCTCACATGGTATAATGCAGCCAAAACTTGGAACATCTTTTAACATATTTTATGTGTTATAAAGGAAGAGACAGCAAGAAAGATTATAATAATTAATACACGTTCAAGATCCATGCTGTGCAATATATTTTAAAACAAAAATATTATTTAACATAATTTTTTAAGAAGAAATTTAAGAGTAGTTGTAAGAGGTATTATTTGTTTGACTTTTTAATTTATTATAAGAAAAGATAATATTTTGAATAATATAGAAATAAGAAATGTAGAGGAGGAAATTACCAGAACAGTCCAAAGACCTACGGATTTGGCAGCAGCGATATTTCGAACATTGTCATCCAAAAACAGCTGAAAATTAAAAACTACATTGCATCAATTTCACTCTATTATTGAATTGTAAAAATGACTAATTTTTTTAGAAGTATAATATTATTTTTATTATCTTATTTATATAATATTTTAATTTATTTTTTTTATAAAATTAAATTTGAACTAAACCCAACACGCGATGAGAGAAATTAGACAGAATAGTAACGCAAAATCTTATCTTACGGTTTGGCGAGGATCGACTTGTGCAATTTGGAGAGCAATTTTCATGGCTTCTAGAGATGGCTTCAAAGTAATAGGGAATTGTTGCATATTTGGATTCATAGTCTCAAAGCAAATAATTTCATCCCAGCAATCTTCTAATTCCAACCTTCTCAAAGTCTCCTTTGCATGTTTTCTGTCCGAATTGGTAAAAATCTACCCACAAATATTCATTAACAACATAATAAAAAACACATATTTTACTGAATTAGAAAATATTTTTCCAATCACTATTTATTTAAATAGTTAATATATATATATATATATATTTGTAAGACATATATGAGTTTAAGTTAGTTAGACTTTACTTTTTTGTATATTCTTAGTTAAAAATGATCTCTATTATATTATAATTAATATATATGTATTATTTAATCAACAAATATGTCAACTTACTAAAGAGAAAATTCTTTTTATGCTTACTATTTTTCTCTGTGAGATCCCCACCAGGAGATTACGTAGATTATAATCTGCTTTGATCAAATCATACGGCAATTGTCCGTGCACGAAACTGATTTATCATCATAATAAAATTTAAAGAAACTCTATGTAGATATATGTATATATATATATAAGGAAGATCAAGCATTAACTACAAATTAATTAATTAATTAATTAAGAGTTTCTTTTGCTAAAAATGTTTACCCATGATAATCGTCGGGATGAACATCATACCCTAATGCCTGTAATAAACGTGGAAATTATTAGTTATCAAAATTTCAAAAAAAATATATATATATAAAATCTAATTAATTACCCGTAAGCCAGCAAGAGTGCTGCCATGAGTTCTGAAAAGCTCAACTCTGAGAGTTGAAGCAATGGCCCGAGAGAACCCTAACTTTTCAACAAGGAAATCTACAAATCATAATTAAAGAAATTAAACATGAATCAAGTCATAAAAATATTTTAGTAAATTATAGAGATTATTCATAAACCTTCGATATTTCTCTTCACAGCCTCAGCTATACCAGTACTTGAAGGATACAATGTGTCATCTAGATCTGTTTTTATCAAAGAATAAAAAAGAAAAGAAAACTTAAGCATATCGCTAGATATTGATTGGATATACATACATATACATATATATACACATATACCGAAGATGATACAGTCGAAGTTGGTGGGAGAACCCATTTGTGTTGAAGCAGATGAAGAAAGAAAGCAAGCAACTTTGAACTTGGTGTTTTTTTTTTTTTTTTGGGTGCCGGTTTCTTTTTATGTTACATGGCATCTTAAAATATATATATATACATACACATAAATTATTGTGTGTCAGTGATCGCGATATCTTGATAAGGAGTAGAGTTGGGGATTAATAATTAGTTTTCTTAAAGATTCGCGGCCATGACAGGTTTGTCCTCATAATAATTAATTCTGAGTCGTCAGATAGGAAAAAAAACACACACTAAAAATACATATATAATAAGTACACTCTTAATTTAATGATAATTAAAATTTTATCATTCATCATAATTTTAATTAATTCTATAATTCAATTTAATAAAAATTTAATTCAATTCAATTTTTTATTTTAATATATTTTTATTAAACAGTTAGCATTAAAATTTTAACTAATTTTAATTTATTATATCTTTCAGTTATAATTAATTTACTAGTTAATTATTTTAATTTTAGTAAAATTTGAAGTGAAAAAGTAAATATTTTAGGTTTACATAGATATAAATTGTAATAGCTTAAAAATATCACCGAGTTAATTTTTTATATTTGATATATTTAATTTATCTTTTATATGTATTTAAAAATAAATAATAAGGTTAAAAATATGATTTATAGTAAGATGAAAAAAAAAAATAGAGAGACATGTAGAGAAGTTGATAATGGGTTACTCTTTAGGCCTTATGGGCTTATGTGGGCCTAAGGGAATCTAGAATAAGAATGATAAAGCATGAAGATGCATAAAAAAAGGGCGGGAACCTTTTAGATGAGGTAGCATGATAAAAGGTGATAACTTTTTAGATGAGGTGGCATGATAAAAGATAATAATTTTTAAGATGAAGTGGCATATGAAAGATGATAATTTTATAAAATGATACGTGAAATGTGGTAACCTTTTAAACAAAATAACATGATAAAATATGACCACTTTTAGATGAAGTAGCATCGTGGAAGTATGACAACCTTTCTCTTATGACTCTCCATTTCTATAAATAGGGATGAGAGAATGGAAGAAGAGACATTGTGGAAGAGAGAGCAAGAGTGAGATCGCAAGAGTTTTTGGCACAAAGTCGTTAGTTATAGTTAGCAAGAAACTAACACTAAAAACACATCAATTCTAGAACAAGTTGGGTTAATTCTCTGATTGGACCATGTCTGTTTACCTTCCACGAAGGGTAAATTCAAATTTTTAAATCTGTTTAGAGTCTCTCTGAACTCATCAGCATAAACCCTTGAAAAATATTATGTGGATCTCTCTTATCTACTAAAAACCATGTTGGGATGCCCTCTTACAATCTACGAGAAGTCTCATTTTTACTTACAATCATCCATATTGTTCCACAACAAACCCCTCTCTCTTTTCTCGTCTTATCTTTATCGTATACGCTAATAAACACTCACCTCCATTCAGTCCTACAATCTTCAAAAATGCATTAAATAAAGCATTCTCCTAATAGTACCTCTTTATAACTAAGTACCTCATCATTCCATAGAATTAAAATCTCACTAAAACCCCCCTAGCTAGTAATCTTTCCAACCTATTTTCTTATTTTCCAAAGGCACAAACATTCTATTTGAGATTGATTCCACTTT